GTCATACAGTGTCCTCTACAACGTTATGACACCACCATCCAGTGTCTTCACCAATGGTCTGACACGACCATACAGTGTCTCCTATCCTTTTTTATTTTTATGTATTTTCTTGTTTTGTTACTATCTCCAAACTCAAGTTGTTAGTTTCTATCCCCCTTGAGTTTGCGGGGGGCTGTTAGAATTTATCTCCACCTACCACCTCCACTATCACACACTCCACCTACCACCTCCACTTCACTCCTACACCTACTACCACATTTTCTTCTATATATAGGAATCCTTGTAATTGTAATCTATATCAATATATACGACAATCAATTAGATATCAATCAATAATATATCATTTTTAACATCATGTTTGCTGACCTTGCAAGTTATTAGATAAAGCAAATGTCTTTAGCATTTGAACGTGTAAACTCATTTCTTTATTTTTTGTACGTGTTTTAGGAAACGGCTTGAAGGAACAAGGATCACTCTAGCGAAAATGTAACTCATAATTTCATTCCATTGTTCCAAATTTTATGTTCTTTTCCCCTCTTTTTTCCTTTGTATTGATTATAGATCAATTACATAATCGTTTATTGATTTGGGTTCATCATGTGATTCCTCCAGGGGAGAACATGGATTTGACTTTCTCATTAGAACACCTTGCACCCCTTCTAGATGGGATGATTTTGATGCAGAAATGACAGCAGCATGGGAAGTAAGTCACTCTAGACTCATCCAATGGCTCTTTTTTTAGCCAATTTACATATTAAGGCTGAAATTCAGACTCTGAAATTAGTTTTTGACCACGCCTAGACGCAAGGTTCTAAAAAGCGGTTGCGGTCGCCGTAACGGTGGCTGTGGCGCGGTTGCGGTTGCGGGGTGTAAAGGTCGTAGTATAACGGTTGCGGTAACCGGAACCATGAATTTTTTTATTTTTCGCACAATTTGAAACAAACTTACTGATACGCATATTTTTTTTCCATGATCATATTTATTGGGTTAAAAATAAATATTGATCAATTTTTGTAAATTTTTAAGTATGATTCAATATATTTCATATTTTTAAATCACTATAAACTGAGTTTTTTTCATTTTATTTTAATAATTAATGACTTTATATTATACAAAAAATCAACCACTAACTATTATATATAAGATAAACAATGACAAAAGTAAGAGAATAAATATAGCCTAAATATATATATACATATATTTCAACCAACCCAAATAGATAATGACCACACTCATTATTATTATTATTTTCAAACAATATATAGATAGACACATACAAACAAAATGGTTAAGTGATAGCAGTTGAATAGAATAATATAGGTCTTACAGTTTCAACAAATCAATAACATATTTTTCATCTTCCCTCTTCTCTCTCTATATCTCTTGCTCCTCCATTTTCTCTCTTTATCTTCCCTCTTCTCTCTATCCATCTTCCCTCATTTTCAGCTTTTTTTTGTGTGTTTTTTTTGAAAGAAATAGCTTGGAACCTCTACGTAACAGTGTGTAACAGGTCGTTACGACTGTTACGGCACCGTTACGACCGCTACGGTAGCCGCTACGGCCGACACACCTGTGAATCTCAATCACACTGCAAAAGCGGCCGTAACGGGTGGCGGTAACCGCCAAAACCGTTATATAACGGCGTTACGTAACAGTTGCGGCCGCTTTTTAAAACCATGCCTAGACGTATTCTATGCACTTTAAATACACAATGTCAAAGTACCAGCAAGAAGCATGAAAATGAGATGAATAACACCCATGTGTTTGGCTTGGGGCATTTTCTACACCTTTTAAATGCTCACTGTGACATTCAGAACTAGCTGAGCTTGATCTGACAAGTCAAGCAGGTTATCTAAGACTAAATAAAATCAGATGTCTTTGGCTGTTTTACAGTATTGGCCGGGCCTAGTCTTTTATTGGGCTCCATAGCTTTCATGAGATGTGCAAGTTTATTCATGAACAGTCTGCCCCATTCCCTGCAACATTACAGCTTGTAACAGATCAGTGTACGGTACTGCCGAAATGTGCAACACAAAAAACATTCCTGTCACCTTACCCGTCCTGGGAGTGTGGGTGTTATACCTTTCCTGTAGTTTGTACGCTAGCTTCTTGGTCCACATTGTTCATGCAAAATTTGAAGGCTCGATTTACATTCTCCCCTAATGCAAGACTGCTAAGCTCCAATGCACCACTGTGCTTTTTTATAATACTTAAATCTTCTATATATATATGTATCTTTCATCTCTTTTCTGCTTGCTCTCACTTAATGCTAAGTTGATTGTTTTGTTTGAACTAGAATTAGGAAAAAGTAGGAACTATTTGGAATTCACATCCCAGATTTTGGTTCAAAATATATATATTTTTTTTTTGTAATCTCTCTCTCTCTCTCTCTGTGTCTCACAAACTGCCCTTATCCACTACATCCTTACTTCATTGATTTCTTTTTAATGGGCTCTTTTAATGACTATCCAATGATGAATGACAAAAGGAGAATAGTGAATGTACAATGATGATAAATGTAATGGTTAAAGTTTCCTTCTGTAAAGCATTGAAGGTGCTATTTACGTAGCTGATATCTCTTTCAATATCAACACACCTCCAAAGGACGAGATGACCATTCTACTTGTTTCATATGATCTCTATTTATTTGCTTTATATGATTATTTCATTGGGTAGAAATTATTTCTCTTGTATTCTTCCAAATGACCACTAGGCATAAAGCTTCTTTTTTTGTTTTTCAAAAAATATTGAAATCAGTACCGAACAGTTGGAAAATAGGCATAATGTTTTTGTTTCTCTCAAAAGTTTTTCATGAAAAGTTCCTCCAGATTTTATTTTCTGGTGAAACAAATGAAGCCTTAGTGTTGTGTAAAGTTTTGGAACATTTTTAAAATTTAATGATGCAGCCTTTACCTATTTTAAAGTTACAATGATTGAATCCTGCATGGCATTTGAATGTACCTCACTGTGGAAATGCAGGCTTTGTGCAATGCTTATTGTGGTGAATCATATGGGTCTACTGACTTCAGTGTGCTTGAAAATGTGAGAGACGCAATCTTAAGGCTGACATATTACTGGTAAAACATGGGATTTTCATACCTTGAAAATGTTTTCTTTTCTGGGAAATATATTTAGGTTGTTGAACTCATTGTAATGCTTTTCAGGTACAATTTTATGCCGCTTTCCAGAGGCTCTGCTGCCATTGGGTTTATAGTTTTGCTTGGATTGTTTCTTGCTGCTAATATGGAGTTCACTGGGAGCATTCCCCAAGGTTTGCAGGTGGATTGGGAAGCCATTCTAACCTTAGATCCAAACTCCTTTGTGGATTCGGTGAAGAGTTGGTTGTATCCATCTCTCAAGGTCACAACATCCTGGAAAGATTATCCAGATGTGGCGTCAACTTTTGAGACAACCGGATCTGTTGTTGCTGCTCTGAGCTCCTACAGTGACTGAGCATTTACATTGTGAAGGTATGCAAGTGGCATTAGTATATCAGATAAATGCCTATTACTCCCCGCATGGTGTTGTTGTGGAAAGCTGAATTTACCACAAAATCAGCTCTTTTAACTCCTATCCGTGGATGTAATTATTTCAAATGGTTCACTATGAGAATAAAATCATCTGTTTTAAATGGCATGCAAAAGTGAAATTTTACAAGATCTCATTTCGATGGGACATATTGATGGTTGCTTTTACTCCAATATTCTGACTTTTTCTTAGAATTTAATTTTTTGCAGAACAGTGTAAGCAGACAGTAAGCAACATATTCTGGCCGGCGATTCTCTCTGAGCTGGTGGATTATTCTGGTCTCAAACCAATAGAGAGATCCGAGGTAAAATTGTGGCAAGATTTGTTTATGTTTTCACCAGCTTGTGTTATTACATGTGTGAATGTTGTACATTGTTATTTATTGGGCTTCTTTAGGATTAATTTGAAGTGCATTTATTCTTTGTTGTCTGACTCTTTTTTCCTCCTTAATTGTCCTAAATATACATCATGGCAATTTAAATATACATCGTGTTACAGATGGTAATTTGTTTTTTCATATGAGTTCTCTTCTTAATTGTTGCAATGCATTTTGATGATATTTTGACTATATTTTTGGTTTGAATAGATGATTATTATGAGTTTTTCCAACAATATTAGTTTAATTTCTATCAGTTTAATTTCTATCGCCTGTTCTATGCTGCTTCTGAACTCGGCAGTTGGGAAGGACAGTTAGTGAACGTGTGTGTGTGTGTGTGTGTGAGAGAGAGAGAGAGAAAGAGAGAGAGAGAGAGTTATCACTCAGAAAAAGCAGGCAGAGGGAGAAACCTACTGATAGCAGTGAATTTACGTTTGGGAATTTGCTGTAATTTTTGCTGCTGTGATTGAACCAGATTAAGAACACTGCAGCCAACAGATGGGGAAAGTAAGAGGAAGGGAAAAAAATGAAAGAAAAATGGTAAGCTATTCAGGACTCTAGTTTCAGTTTTAATTTTTGAACAGGTGGAAATAATATTCGTATCACAGAATGGAGGAAATATCTAACTGGGTTTCGTAAATCCTCCACACACCCTGAAGGACTAGTCTAACCTTGAATTATTTGAAGGTAGTATATGTTCTGGAATTTTATATTTTAGATGTCTGTAAAGCTAATATCAGAGCTTATGATGGTTAAGAGTTGGAAAACTGATGAATTTTTGAGGTCTAGGCAACGTTAAATACATGTGTAAAGCATTGAAGGTGAGGGTTCTGAGCTGGAGAGACAGAACTGACCAAAATTCCATGAGTGACCAAAATTCTAACCCATAATTTGTTACTAATTTTTTTCCAATCTTTTTAAATTTCTTAGGTTCTTACCCATGAATGAGCTAGCTGTTGCACTTTTGCCTTAAAGAACTCGATCAGTTCAACAATTATTTCATCAATTTTTTGGATAGAAGATTTAGAATATTCAGAGGCATTTAGTAAGATGGAGAGAAAGTTGAAACTTGGAGGCATGAAGTATCTAAATTTATACAACTATTTTATGCCCATCCATTTGATTTTAAATGGTGTTGAGGTTTATGGTTTGTGGTAAACTACTAGTTTTGGAATGGAATTCTCATCAAAACAACCAAGAACAATGCTAGGATGTTCATAGTTTCCATAGTATCTGGTTCTTTTCAATTTGGTCCAATTGCCAACCTCTCAAATTGTCACATGGTTTCTAGGTGGTGCCACGTGGCATTTTACCCAATTCAAACCCAATGGCAATCCGAGAAGGTGCAATAAGAGCATTTCCAATGTAAAAAGACATTTTAACCATCCAAATGTGAAATTTTAGCATGTTAGTTTATGCTGAATGTTATAATTTGGCATTTTTATTCCAATGTTAAATTGTCAAACTTAGGCCCAACAACCATTCCTTTCTTTTGATTACCATTCTTTCAACTATAATTTTTCCAACCGCTTCAGATGTGAATGATTTACGCCTTTTTATATTTGGTGAGGATCTTTCATATTTGTGTGTGAATGAATGGAAAGAGAAAAAAGATGAATTCATGAACAAGCTATTGGAGAAAAGAAGAGAGGTTTGCAAATGGAGTGGTTTTTGCTGGGACATTTTTATAGGAATTCATTTCGATTTTAGTAGCCATTTGCCTAATAATTCCGTGCTAGCACTGTTTTGCAATTTGTCAAACTTTGTTTAAATGTTATTCTTTCCGTCCAAAATCGTTGATCTATTTTTATTATTCCATACATCTCTAAAATTGTTTATATATATATATATATTTTTTTTTCTAATGATTTTACAGACTTTATCTATAAGAACTAATTGAGATTTTTATATTTGTTATGAAAATATGTTATTTATTGACTCAATTAAAAGGCACGAATGTTTTAAAAAAAAATATCAACGATTTGGGATGAAGGGAGTAGTAGTTTCTCTGCACGGCAATGCTTGCAAATTGTCAAATCGCCTTGCCAAATGTAACTATGATTTTGGCATTTTCAAACCATGCATTCATGAGTAGCAAAATGGAGGGCATATCATAGTTTAACATTAGCTGTTCCATTGGAATTGCTCTTATGGACATCATAACTTCACAAACTCTTCCATACAATTTTTTGGGTGTATATTTTTACTACATTTCTCATAAATATAAGATCCAGCCCATAAAATAGATTAAAGGGTTATAGATGCAATCATTATGATTCTATATCTACTCAAACTAAAGTACTTAAAATCTTAAAATTCTCCCATATAAATTGCAATTTATACAGCTTAGCAAAATAATCTGTAAAATTCTGTCTCACAAAAATACAGTAACTTGAATAAAAATAAATAAGTCTTTATCTGACACAATAAACAAGCACATGGTGTGCCTGCCAAATTCAAAACATGTTACTAACAATTAAAAAATGCAATAAAATAATTGCTCTCCACATTAAAAAAAAATGGTTAGCTCTAAAAAATTTAATCTGGATTCCATCCATGTGAATAAAGCAGTATAAGTCTTTATTTATTTATTTATTTATTATTATTATTATTTATATGCAAAAAGATCACAAAAGTTTCTATGCTAGGGTTGAACTCTGACTTGTTCAAAAAGAAAAGGGTTTAACTCTGACCATGATGTTGATTTTTAATTATTTTAATTTGAAGTTAAAAAGTCTCGTTTAGGATATATTTTTTGACTTTTTTGATTTTTATAAGAGAAAAAATAAAATGATTATAAGTTCGATATGATATTTTATTTTACTGAATTAAGAAAAAAAAAATTCTTTTTATGACTAAAATAATTAAAAAATTAAAAAGCTTGGCATGCGAAACTAAGGTTAAGAGCCTTACCATCGGGTCAGCAGCTTTGCTCAAGTTTAAACAATTCAATAAAAAAAAGTAGGATGTCTGTGAAAAAATATGATTTTGGGGGGATATTTGTTTTTTTTGCTTTATGCTTTTGCTTTATTTTTTTTCTAGGGCAAATTACTAACACCCCTTGAGATTTGACTAAAATATGAATTCTCTTTAAAGTTTGAAAAATTACATCTTGCCTCCTGAGATTTATATTTGCATAATAAATTACTCCCTCATTTGTTATGTAAATATAAATTTTAGAAGGTAATTTGTAATTTCTTAAATTTTCCGAAAGGTGTTGGTAATTTGTCATTTTTTTTAAATTTTTTTTTTTTAGGGAAAAGACAATTCACAATTGTTTAAAAGGCAATACAGATGTAGCCACCTTCCAGTAAACTGTAACTTTCAGTACAGGTTGGGATTTTATTGTCCCACAAGAAATTTGTTATAATAAAATTGTATAATAAATAAATATATTTTACGTATAGCCTATTAGCCTATAGATAAAAAAATTTAATATAAAATTTTGGTATTGAAATAAGATTCAATGGTTAAGATGTCTACAATCAAAGACAGTTTTTTTTATAGAACACCAGTCGAACATGGGTAAATTTATCAACACAATGTGCTATTTTCATAGATGTACGCAGTGCAAAATAAAAGAAATGAGCAAAACTCATGCCTTAATTGGTGGAATCTTCAACAATCACACCTAACTTAAAAACATTAAAGTTGTTAAGATAGTATCTTAACTATTTGCTTGGTATCCCTTCAATGATGACCTTACAAATCTACTATTGTAGACCCAAAGGGCATGTTTGATTGGGTGGATTAGAGCATGGGATTAGGATTATTAATCCGTGGGCCCAATTATTTCATGTTTGTTTTAACATTTTGGTTTAGGATTATTAATCCAATGGATAATTAATCCAACAAATTTATAGGATTATTAGTAATGGGGTAGGGGTGAGATTATTAATCCAATGGATATTAATCCAATTGGATAGTGAATCCTACACTAATTTAATAGGATTATTAATACTTCACTATTAGTCTTTTGAATCAAACATGACCAAAGTATATACATACAAAAATGCCAAAACTTATTAGCATTATTGATTCAAAAAAATCAATGTTCTCATGTTTCAATAATTCATGACCACATGGTCTTAAATTTAATTAATCTTAATTAAAAAAAATTAGATCAAAGTACATGAGATAGAACCATGTCCTCACAACCATAGCGTGGGGGTCGTTTGGTAAATTTTTTGAAAAATGTTTCAAACCCTCTTTCCTTCCCTTTCCCTCCCACCCCTTTTCTCTCCTATTGGCCAGTTTTTCTTCTTTATTTATTTATTTTTTTCCTTCTCCTCTAATCACCACCCGCCATGTGTGTGTGTGTGTGCTGGTTGGGGTGGTGATTGGAGGAGATCTCTATCAATGCTAAATTTTTTTATAGCATTTAGTTAAGGTTTAAAATGTGTATTGTTTGGGAATTTTTTTTCAAAATTTCATTTTATTTATTTTCTCAACTAAAAAACAACTTTTGGTTTTTTAAGGTGTATTTGGTACTTTTCTTTTTAGTTGTAAAATAACACAAACACGGCATGTCTTGTTGCGTGATCATCATCCCACCATACATTTCCAGCTGTACAAGAAGAAGAGCCCTTTGACGAAAAAAACAAAAATGAAAAAGCCAGCACAGAATCATTTGGTGGTTACGCGGTGTACAGGTGGTTGTGTGATTTAGGCCACCTTAAAAACTTTTGAAAAAATTATTAAATATTTTTAAAATAGAGAGAATTTTAAAACAGTGGGATAGATTTAAAAAAAATTTATAAAAATATGTGAGGTGCAATTGATTTTGTGATGGAGTATAAGTGAAAGATTATGAAAGTGCAAGTGTGACTTAATAAGCTGCCCCCCATCCCATTAAAATATAATTTTCCTTTTAAAATATCATTTAATTTTACTTGCATGATAATAAAAAACTACTACATACATTTTAATAAATTATTATTTTTTATCTCCTAACTATTAAAAATAAGAAAAAGATTGGAGTTCTAAATATAGGGTTATAGAGGAGTTCTAATAAGCTGCCCCCCATCCTAATATGATGTTTGTGCTTTTTCTTTTTTTTTTGTCACATTATTAGAACCCAAATTAAATCTCTAAATTTAGAGTGGCCCTCCACCCGAATGTGATGTTTGTGTTTTTTTTTTTTTTATTACATTACTAGAACCCAAATTAAATCTTTAAATTTGAAATTATATATCATTTCTCTAAAAATAAATATGAATCATCCATCATGCGTGGCTTGTAAATTTTTTTAAGGAAAATGTTTGAGGGCCCGAATCTGCTTGGCCCGAATGCCCCAGTTTTTTTTTTTTTTTTTTCTTTTTTTCCGCCATTTTCGACCTCTGCAATGCAGATTGAGGCAAGTTTGATTTATTTATTTATTTTTACATTTATTCTTACACAAATAATGAGAAGTAGAGGAAGAAAACAATTGTATAATTGTCTTTTTATCACTAAAGTTAACAGAGTTAGTATTGCAATTTAATCCACAACCACATGGGGGGCTTGTGGTTATTTTTAAAAGATAAGGGGTAAAGTGCTACGGGGACCATACCATAGGGAGGTAAATGAAAAAAAAAAAAAAAAAAAAAAAAATTTGGGACATTCGGGGTGTCCCGTTTTCGGGCCCCAATCACTACCGTTTTTTTAAATTACAAATACTTACAAAAAGGAAAATGTCTCGTAACTCAAATTTTGTTGCTCAAAAGTGACTCAAATGGCCAAAACAACGTTTTGGCCATTTTTATGTTGTTCTGTACTCAAAACGACATCGTTTTGACCATTTGAACTACTTTTGAACCACAAAATTTGAGCTAAGTAACATTGTCGTTACAAAAAAAAATGCCTTGCTTACCTGATGTCACATGCAAATTCAATTAAAGATGGAGCCCACAATACAGACTGTTTTCAACCCCCACATTACGATGCAAATTTTGTTGGGTATTGCATAGGGGCCCACCCAAATGTCCAAACCTTCTTTTTTATAACGCTTCTATTCTTCCAAATTCATTCATCTAAAAACCACTACTTCCAAATTCATTCGTTTAAAAACTACTTATACTCACCGCACTCTCTCCCACTACTGTCACCGTCTCCGACACCCCCTCCTCTCTCTCTCTCTCTCTCTCTCTCTAGAAGCGATGGCAGCGAAGCGTACATTCGCCTTTGCATTTTTGTGCATCATAGTCGCCGGCGTCGGAGCTCAGTCTCCGGCTGCCGCGCCGACCACGTCTCCGGCGACTACAGCTTCACCACCTGCCACTGCGACGGCGCCTTCGAAGCCAAAGTCTCCAGCTCCGGTGACGACTCCGGTTGCTGCATCTCCGTCGACGACTACGGTTCCTCCGGCTGCTGCTCCGACGACACCTGCTGTTCCGGTGCCGGTATCGGCTCCTCCGGCTACTACTCCGGCGACTTCACCACCTGCTCCGGTGCCGGTCAGCTCTCCTTCCTTGCCTCCGCCTGCGAAATCTCCTCCTGCTCCAGCTCCAGCACCGGCAACTCCGCCAGCTGCTACGCCTCCGGCGCCGGCTTCTGCACATCCGGCGAAAGTTCCAGCTCCGGCACCGAGCAAGAAGAAGACTAAGAAGCACAATGTACCTTCGCCGGCACCGGCTCCGGCGTTGCTTGGACCTCCTGCGCCGCCGAGCGAAGCCCCTGGACCAGGTCTTGATTCGGCCTCGCCTAGTCCAGCTCTGGCTGATCAGGTACGTACTGTTCGTTCGCTTATTTTTGTGCTGATTGCTTACACATCTAACATGCGTTGGTGACAAACGCGCATCGAGATCTGCAATTTTTTATGAGAAAATTATCTAAATTTATAATTTTAATAATTAATATTAAGAAAATCTATTATTAGGTTGTAATTATTTTTTAACTTTTATATTAATTTGAAATTTTATCGTGTTTGTTTTTAGAAAATTAATTATGTATAAATATAATAAATCATTATTATTCCACATGAGTATTGAGAGGTTGTTTGGGATGATCTGTATTTTTTTGTCTTTTTATAAAAAAAATATGCAGAAAAATAGGGAGGTAATGTAATAGAAAAAAAATAAAAAGACGAATTATATTAGAATTATCAAACGTGATCTAAATTTTTCTCAGTAGAGGTTGAATTTGAATTTGAAAGGTTAAAATCTCACACTGTAAAATGACGTGAGCCTAACGGTGGACAATGAAAATTTAAAAGAAGTCACCATGAAAGGTGGAAATGTGGAGCCCAAATTAATACCTTGATGATTTGATGTAGCTTTTGATGCTCAAATTTGATAATTATTGACATCTTTTAGATAATTATTTGTCTATTTAAATTTATATAGATATCTATAATTACAATGCTCATTTTCTTTAATTTATTTAAAAATGCAATTACTTTTTAGCTCTCATATTCAACCATAAACCTGGTGTAATTCGTAAATTTGTACAAACCTGAGACAAAAATTATGCAACTATTTGAAATTATTAGAAGTCTAGCAAGTAGGATTGTGCAAAATATCGTTAAATTCGTTAAAATCATACCACTCCGTATTAATTTGCATTGTTCTATTCGCTAACTGCGATTTAAACTTTAAAATTTATAGTGGGTGTTTGGGAAGTAGATTTTTTTTGTAGGTTTTTTTAGTTATAGAATATTATTAGAGAAATTTTTTTTTTTTGTGTTTGGGAAGATAATTGAGTTTTTTGTGATTAGATGTGATGCTTATAAAAGAAAAAGCGAAATGATTATGGAGTTTGATGTGATATTTTGTTTTGATTTTTTTTTTTCGGTTTTGTAACCAATTTGTCTTTTAGTGGGGAAAAAAAAAATTCATCTTCCCAAACACTGCCATAATTCACTTTTGAAATCGCTCCGCTCCGTTAGAATTAATGCATATATTTTTTTAAATATATAATGAAATATCAAAGTAAAAATGAGTATGAGAGAAATTTAAGATGTGAAATTTATTATAAATTAGTAATTATAGATATAAAATATTATGTAAAATTAGTTTGTTATATATGAAAAATATTATTCAAATAAGTATTATATATTATGCATAGACTTAATAATTGGTTAGAATATTCTTTAATCTGTCAATCTGTTCAAAATCGCTCAAATCACAATTTATCAATCTGTTAATCTGCCATTCAATTTATAATTTTACTCTCAAACCATTCGAATTGCACTGCGCACATCATACTTGCAAGTAAGTAGACTTGTTAAGAGTGGAAAGAAACTATGAAGGCATCAAAAGATATATAGAAACTAATAAATTTATATTATTCTAGTATCTAAATCAAAATGGATTATGATAAATAAATAAATAACCAAAATAGATGACACTATTAGTTTAGCGTAATTTGTCACATATGCTTTGGATTATTTTCTGGTAATTGTATATGGTATTATGGATTATAATTAAAAACATTCAACTGTGATTGAAAAATATGCAGAGTGGAGCAGAGAAATCGAAATGCGTAGAGATGGTGGCGGGAAGCTTGGTACTGGGGTGCGCGTTGTTCGGTTTGCTCTTCTAGAGAAATATACGAATAAAAGAAAACTCAAAACAAAATCTTTGTCCACAATTTCACTTATAGTTGTTCATGATCTCATATTGAAATATTTTGTTAATTATTCGTTTCTTTGTATTATTAATTATTATTCATTGGCTTGATATGGATTTGGATGGGAGAATTTACCACATTGGCTTTGTAATCTTGGGCAGAATTTGAGGGAAAACTTGTATTAAACGTTTCTATGCATTACTATGTATTCCCTTTCGACCATCGCAGAGTCACCGAAATTTTATTTACAAATTGTGCACACGGGATGAGTTAAAAACTATTTTAAATTAATTTTTAGAATATGAACAATAGATTCTATCTCACATCTAAAAAGAACAAACTAACAATTACCATCAAATAATTTTGTTTGATGAAATTGCAAATGAAAAAAGCATCATTTTGGAAAAAAGCATGCATGATATTACAATTGAAACAGATTCAGAGCAAATGGTGTTGCACATCAACAACACCACCCCCAGCAATCATCCACATAGAGCCTTGCTAATATTTTGTTAATTATTCGTTTCTTTGTATTATTAATTATTATTCATTGGCTTGATATGGATTTGGATGGGAGAATTTACCACATTGGCTTTGTAATCTTGGGCAGAATTTGAGGGAAAACTTGTATTAAACGTTTCTATGCATTACTATGTATTCCCTTTCGACCATCGCAGAGTCACCGAAATTTTATTTACAAATTGTGCACACGGGATGAGTTAAAAACTATTTTAAATTAATTTTTAGAATATGAACAATAGATTCTATCTCACATCTAAAAAGAACAAACTAACAATTACCATCAAATAATTTTGTTTGGGTAATTTATAAAGATGATGCGGAATAAATTTAACAATTATCAATTAATAATTTCTTTTTTTAACTCGAACCTAATGATTAAAATTGATCGTTAGGTATTGGAATAAAAAATCATGACTACTCTGTTTGGGAAGAGTTATTTGGAGTTTTTTTTGACTATTTTAGTCACAAAAGACAAAATAGACTATTTTAGTCATAAAAAACAAAACATCACATCCAACTCATAATCATTATACTCTTCTTTCACAAAAAAAAAAAAAATCAAAAAAGTCAAAAAATTAAAAAGCTAACCCACTCCCCAAACGACACCGTAATATGGAAAAATCCCCCACTGTAGATAGCTAGTTTTCTAGCATGTGGAGATGATATGGTATGGTACAATTTTTAGCTTTAGAGCAGAAGAGATAGTAAGCAGACTAGAAAAAAGCAATCTTTGTTCTCAAAAGCAACAAAGCAAGAAAAAAAGAGGAGCATGGCTACTTCGATAAGATCGGAGAAGGAGATCAGACTACATCAACAGGAAGCCGGTCAATGAAACCAACGCGGGAGGATGAACAGCAAACGGATGAGGAAGAAGACTAATTGGAGTGCCACTAGAGAGAGATTAACCCTACCCCAACTTCTTGTTGATCAATTTTCACTGTATTAACAATAAATTTTGTTTGTATACTTAACAACAAATAGAACACAGAAGAAATAAAGGAAATGAGAGAAACTGTTTGATTACAAAAATCAAAACAGTGTATAAAAATAAATAAATAACAAACAGATTTTTATTTTGTTACAAAAACAAAATCAAAATCTAGAACATAAAAAACAATTAAACATAAAAGTAATCAATGCATTTACGTTATTATTTTCTCGAACAAATTTTTGACCAAGTCCAGTGTTTAACACTGTATTCTTAAGACAAATGTGTCCTCTCCACGGTGCTTTCAGATTGTAGACATCTATCTCCCAAGATAAAATGATCATCAACAAATAATAGCAGCACTACAAATTATTCGCACAACGAACACACTTTGTATTTACATTCTTTCTTACAGAAAATTAAATGTAGCAAAATACAGAGAGCAATAGCAAATTTGAGGACAAAAATTGAGTGAAAAAACCAAATGAGGGCCTGCCTATTTATAGATGACTTGGTGGCTGTTCGGTTTGAATCCAACAAATAGCAAACCTGTTTGAACCGATACAACCTGTTCGGTTTGAATTTTGAACAGATAACTGAATTTGTTTGGTTTATATTGGACAGATATGGACCTATTCCGGTGTAGGAATAATCTGAACATCATTTCGGAATTGTTTTCAAAATTTAAATTCAAAAAAGGTAAGAATTTAATTTTAGAAAAATAAAAATCCAAAATGTTTTTGGTCCAAAAAGATAAACATTGGGCCGGATAAGCCCAACTCAACCTCCTACTACGCATCCAAGCCCAGGCCCAGCCCAGGCCGCCCGAACGGATAGCGGTGGCGACGCGCGTGTGTATTTATTTTTGGGTCAATTGGATCTGGCCCACTTTGCCCATAACCTCTCATTTCTACAAACTTGGAGTGCTCCTTGGGGCCCTTCCTAAGTTGCAAGCTCAAGCCTTATAAACCCATAAAAGCTTTCCCACCAAACCAATGTGGAACAAGCCTTTAATTCAAACCTTTAACGAATTTCCACAAAAAACTCCATTTCCATAGAGCTCACTTTGGCTTCAATTTCCCATTCACCTGATAATGGTTTTGAGTAACCAAATATATTACGTGAATCACAACGCGGCATAAAACGTGTTACCACTTAGACCCGCCAACTTTGGCGCATGGGTCCCACCTAAAAATTAGACCAAAGTTTAGGAAAAAACTAATTTTTCCAAAACCCCATTTCTATCACTTCTATTAAGCCTAACCCACCAGCTTCCTTCAAGGATGCACTTACTACCCCTCTTTTTGAGGTTTCCAGTCTTGAACCCATTACGATTAACTAGTACGAAGACTGTAACAACCCTCACCACTGTTTACCGATTAACCACTGATTACTGCTAAACTGAGACTGATTATGATAAGTAATTGAATCGACTGAAATACTGAACTGATCGATTAAGTGCACTAGTTTAAATGCATGTCTATCTGTTGACTGTTTAATTATCTGTTCATGTTTTATGTTTAAACTGCAAATTAAAGGCCTTATCGGTAGCTGAATCTGAAATGGATTGATGATTTATGATAATTAGAATTAATGTGATTTTATGGCATATTTAATTAAAATGTGATTTGGTATGTTTAAATTAGATTAATTATTGATAAATTGCAAACTTGGACTTAATCACAACCTTGCAATGCCTAGTGACTCACTAACTAAACACTTTGAGCCCCATACACACTTGACCAAAAGATTTCATCAGCCTCTTTCCTTGTTATTGCCGACTAGAGAGAGTGAGATAGGGAGTTGGAGTGAATTCATCTTGTATTGCTTGGAAATTGGGAAGATTGGAAGAGTTTGTGATCAATTGAGCTCCTAGACCTTGAATACAAGACTTAAGGTAGAACATCCACCTTCTTGAACTTGTTTTTGAATTGATTCATGCATGGTTCTTGTGTCCTTAGTGATCTAAGCCTAGATTGGTCCTTATATGTTGAATTGAAGCTCATTTCATGCATACATGCTTCCATTGTTGAAATTTGAGTTGTTTTCATGGAGAATTGTTACTTGCATGTCCAAGGTCTAGCTAAGGTTCATGAATTCATCTTGTTTTTGGAACAATTGGCTCATTAGAGCAATTATTTGAAGCTTGATAGTTGTTTAAAGTCTTGCATGTTCAATTGCAGTCATGTTCTTGAAATTTGGTTTGAAATTGAGTTTAATTCCCTCACCTTTGGGCCTTGATTTTACAAATTGAGCTTTAAATCATGTCATACTATGTATTTACAAGTGTTTTCCAGGAAATGGGCCCAAAGGAATCGAATTTGAATCATTTGAAGTTGAATTTGAGCTTGAGGTTCAAATTTGGGAATTCCAGATTTTGAACTCACGCTTGAGTGGGGTGACTGGCGCTTGAGCGTGAAATTCGTGCTCCCAGTACTTTGCACTGTTTTGAAGTCAGCTCGAGCGGGGTAATTTACGCTCGAGCGAGACCTCGTGTCTTACGCTCGAGCTAGTGTCGAGCGCCCAATCGAGCATGAATTTCACCTATCCAGCACTTTTGACTGTTTTGCAGTACACTCGAGCGGATAAGTCTACGCGAGAGTGGAAACCTTTGTCTTCATGTCCGCTTGCGCGGAGTAACCTACGCTCAAGCAGGACCCCTGTTTTCTAAAAATTCTGAAAAATGTTTTTAAAGTGCATCTTTGCATCCTCATTTCATCCTAGGCATTCTTAGGCCTAGTTTAAGGCATCTTAATGAGGATAGTGATGTAGAACCACACCGAGTCAAGATAGGGATTAAGTTATATTTCCCCAACTGTATAGCTCAGTGTGTGTTCATTCTGTAACTGTGTAGGGTTGGCATCTGAGGACGTGCTCTAGCTTAACTGTAGCCCAAAACTCTGTGAGTAACAACTGTGTAAAGATATATTCAAATATGATTATCTTTTGAGCAATTGAACTGTACTGTTTTTCGAAATGATACTGTTACTGAATGAATGATGTCCTAATTGTGAACTGTATTGTGGCATCCTTAGCAACCACTGTTACTGTTACTGTTACAGAGACCTCTGTCGGTTCCTATGTTGGAACCACTACTGTTTACTGATATGATGGTCATCAACTAACTGTTCGGTCTGATAAGACCTACTGTACTGTTTTGCTACTAGATGTACCACATATGACTATAATGACTGAATAACTGACATACTGATTGAAATGATTGTTTTCAATACTGTAAGGACATTCATTCTTAACCTCTTTACGCATTATGTTATTCATTGAGCTTTAGCTCACTGCTCATATATATATGTAGGTGTACAGGCACCGAACCGTTGCTAGACGCGTCGGGGTAAACTCCAGTTTTGTCAAGCCAACCTATGTGCCTCACTGCGAGGTTCCGAGCCTGCCAAGCTATGGCTTAGGGGTGTTTTAATTTCCCCTGTCTATCTCTGTATCTGTTTCGTAATGTTGTATAGACTGATACACTGTACTGTACTGTCTTAATAGGGATTAAGTCCCTGACCTGGATGATTATAAATGTTGTATAAACTGTTTTGCACTGATTGTATATATGTATGAAAAGTCTTTTTGCATACAGACTGTCACAGCTCATTGGACACTGTTTACTTACTGTTTTGGCTTCTTCCATGCCCCTGTACTCTGCATTACTGTATTACTGTTAAGCAGGCCTTCGGTAATCTCGGATTACTGGTCGGTTATGGTGCTAAACCCATAGGGGCGAGTTTGGGTCCTGACAAAGAACCTATTTCGA